GTTTGATGGGCGTGGCTTGGCGGGCGTGCTTTTTCCTGCTCCTCCTGCAATCCTGCACTCTCCCTGGAGCTTCAACAGGCAACGCGCAAAGCAGCTGCGCCTCAAAAGCAGAAATAAAGGCCAGTAGGGGAGCCCCGGCAGGCGGATGGACCCAACTGCAGAGCATCGGAGAAACTCGGAGTGAACCGGTTCTCTGCCAGCTGATCTTCGGCGCTACCGGCACGCCAGAACCAGGCCGAGCTGGTAGAATAGCACCCTTGACTCTTACTTTGGTCACTGTTGAACTGCAGGGTTCCAGCCTTTCAAGATCTTTTGGGATCTCGAGCTGATCTTCTGAGGCCTTGCCGGCCTCCTCCAGCTTTGCCTTGTCTGACCATGTAAGGAGGCCCCCTCCGAGCCCTCGGGTGCCCTCTGCCCACCCGTGCTGCCATCAAAGGCTTGCGCTGCAGGGCGGGCACGGAGGAGGAAGGCCCAAGGCCCCCTCCGAGCCCTGCCTGAATCCCTCCCACCACCTTCCTGGCACACAGCTTGTGCCACAAAGGCCCTCCGAGGCGGTGATCAAAGCCGCAGCTGCCACAGAAGGTCGCCCAGCCTCCCTTCACCTCTGGTGGGGCCCGGTTGGGAGAGGCGCCACGCAAGGGGAGGGCACCCGAGAGTCCTTGGCTGCGTCCCTGGCAGCGTTTGAGCCTCGGCTCCAGGAGCAGCAGAGTTGGGTGCTAGGAGCCCTGCGGGGACCCTCGCATGGGCCACCCTCCCCTGGGGAGGACTCCGCATGGGCCCCCACCCCGATGGTGAGCAAGCAGGACCCCTGCAGGCCGGGATGAGACCAGCCAGCTGCCGTTGAGACGCAGTTTGCGTGTCTCCACAGCAACCCAGGTCAGCAGAGGATACGCCGCCGAGTGCAGAGGCAGCACCCAGGCCCTCGCCAAGAGCGCTTTGGCTGGCTACCGGCCAAGGCAGAGCAGCCAGCGATGGAGGGAGGCCCCTCCCAAGAGGAGGCGGCCTGGGGCTGCCCCGCCTTGGCTGCCTTCCCCAGGTGGATTAGCTGGCGGAGGCCCAGCCAACGGCTCCCTGGCCCCAAGCAGCCACAGCAGCACCACTGGTGACACGGTGCAGAGCAGGGCTGCGTGGGCTCAGGCTGCCGCCCCCCCCCCCCCTGCACGGAGATGCTTCCACCGCAGCCGCTTCCAAGAGCTGCTGAACTCAGAAGTGGGGCCGAATGCTTGGCTGGCTTGGCTTGCTGTCACATCCTTGGGCAGGTGGTGCCCAAGAGCCCAGAAGGAGGGAAGTCAGATGGCCGGGCATGTTGGTGCCCGAGTTTGCCCACAAACCACCCAGCAGGGGGCTGAGGTTTCCGTGCTGCCTAGTGGCAGGGCTGTCGTCCCCCACATTTGCAGCGGCCGGGCAAATATGCCTGGGGAGGGCAGAACCTGGACCCCACCTGGCTCTCTGCTGTTTGGGGTCAGGAAGGACTTGGCCCCCGGAAGCCTCCCTGGCAGATGGAGACATTGGCGGCCCAAAGAGGTCAAGGTTAGCTCCCGCAGGAGCTGCCAGTTGGCCTTCAGCCCTTGAACCAGCCCTGGGTGCGGTGCCTCTCTCTCTCTCTCAGATCTGCAGTGACCCAGTTGGCAGGAAGTTCCCTGGCATTCAGGTCGGCCTGTCTCTTCCTAGTGCCACCATCTAGGAACCGCAAATCTGCATGCCAGTCTCGGGCGGCACCTCCCAAGACCTGGCTAAGCAGGACAAACCTGCCAGGGGACTTCCGTGCCTTCAGTTTCCCCGTTCCGGGAGGGGCTTCCAAGGGCTTCCACCAATCCCCCTTTTGGGAAGTCCTGCCCCCACAGCCCCCCACCCCACGCCTGGCCTTCCTTCCGTCCGGCCTTCTGCAGTTGTCCCTGCAGGCCAGGCAGCCCCACTTTGGCCGCCCTGCTCGGCGCAGTTCCCTCTCCAAAGGGGCCATTTTCTGCTTCCTTTCTCGGACTTCCTGGGTCTCTGGGTGAGGCCCAGGGCCTCTCTGGCCCACAGCAAGGGGAGCTCTGTGTCCCTTGGGGGCCTAGCAAGACTTCTGCTGTCAGCCCCTTCCCCTGGGCTGCCCAACGGGGAGCCAGCCAAGGAAGGGGCTGCAGGGCCCCCCCGCTTTTCAGTTGGCAGGTGCTGAACTGCCATCCAGGAAAGTCCCAGGAGGCAGCGACTCAGCCAGGCACCACCCCCACCCCAAAGCTAACGATTCGCCACCGGAGCTTCCTGCCCTGAAGAATTCCGGCCTGAAATCTGGCACTGGGTCACGCCCAGCAACAAGCTCCAAAGAAAATGCTGAAAGCAGAAAGGAGCAGGCCCCGGACCCCCACCCAGGGGAGTCATGCCAGGGACCAGGGACCCCCGTGGCTAGGAGGGGGCGCCTTAGGACCGGCATGTGACCAGGGAGCCACCCCCAGCCTGGGCCTCGTGTGCCTAGCCCTGGCGCAACCGCTGCCTGTCTGAAGCCCTCCAGCCCGCGGAGGGGCGTTGCGGGGGCTCCAGCTAAGTCAGCAACATCCTTGGAGCTGCCCGGCTCCAGATGCCAGGCTCCTCTCACCACCAGTCTGCGGTGGCGGTGGCAGCCAGCCCGCCCATCACCACATGCCCCCCCTTCCCATGCGCTCTCTCTGGTCTGCATTTGCCTGGCTTCTGCTGCCTCGGGGCCAAAACCAGATGCTTGGCTCTGGATTGGGCTGGTTGGCAGAAGGTCCCGCTTGGTAGAAAGGAACGGAGGTGGCTCTCCTCCTGCTTGGCTCTCCAGGTGGGCTGAGGTCTTCAGAGGGGTCAGCTCCCCCCCCCCAGAAGCCTCGCACAGGAGCCACCGCCTCCTCTCGGGCAGCTCCTGGGACCAGCCTGCTTCCCTGCTCCTGGGCATCCAGCCTTGGGTGGCAGGAATGCCCAGCAGCGTGGCAGGCAGGCAGGCAGTTGTGGGGAAAGGAAGGGCCACTTGCCCGAGGTGTGGGGCAGGCAGTGGGAGGCCCTGGGGAAGGGGGCAGTCAGGTCATGGGGCTGGCTCTACCCTCATTTCCCTGGCGCCGGGAAGGGGGGGGCAGACAAGCCAGGCCCCAGCTTTGCCTGATGAAGACCAGCCGCCTGCAACAGAAGGGCTTCCAGCAGGCAGGGGGCCAGACCCACACGCGCCTCGGCGCAGACTTCCAGCATCCAGGACATCTGCAAAGGATGAGGGCGCTCCCGGTGCCAGCCCTCCCCCCCCCCCCCCTGGCCCCCCCACCCCCCGCCTCCTGGGAAGGGGCCTTCCCGGGGGGGCCCGCCGAGCCTGGAAGGCCAGGGCAGGGGGGGCGGGGAAGGGGGGGGGGTGGACTGAAGGAGGGCCTAGGTGAAGAGTGGGGGAGCCAGGAGGGCCCCCCAAAAGGCCAGAAAGTGCTTCCGGGGTGCAGGAAAGAGCCACAAGGATGATGTCACCCTGCAAAGGTCCATGAGATACGCCCCCAAGCCTCCCCCCCCACCAGCACAGGCCAAGGGGGCCAAAGCGGAGGGCCCCCCGCCGGACCCCCCGACCGTGGCACGGGGGGGGGGGGACCCTCGCCCCCCTTCCGGCCACTGAAGCGATGGAAAGCCACCCCCCCAAAAAAACTGTTGGGGGGGGGGGCTGCCTGTGAGCTCATCTGTCCACAGTTTCCCAGAACTCTTTCCCCTCGGGGCCCAGCTGCGATTCCTGCTCCTGGGAGGATCTTAGGCGACTCATTGGCATTTTGCAAGACTTGGCTTGGCCACCCGGGAGGCAGCCGGGCCAAAGCAGAGCCCGTCTGCCCCCCCCCCCCCCCGTTGGCTGGCTGGGAGCATGGGGGTGGGCTGAGGGATGACCCCCCCCCCATAGGGCTGCCCTCGTGGCCGATGCCCAGAGCAGCCTGGAGCAGAGCCAGACCCCAGAGCAGCCCAGGACGGCCGCAGGGCCAGCAGCCCACCTGCCTTGGCCTTCCCAGCCGAGGAGGGGTCTGGGGCTGGGCGAGGCAGCGTCTCGGGGAGGAGCTTCGGGTCCCAGGCCTTCTGAGGACAGGCAGCTAGAGGGGCTCCCTCCAAGGGCGGCTCTCTCCCCCAGGGCTCCGAGGCTTCAAACCCCTCACTTAGCCACTGGAAAAAGTGGCTTCGGACCGTTTCCCACAGTTACAGCCGTTGCATCACATGGGAATCAAAATTCAGCTGGCACCTGATTCGTATTTATGACGGCTGCCACGTCTCGGGGTCATGGGATCCTTTTTGGGGACCTTCTCACAAGCAGAGTCAGCTAGGGAAACCAGATCTGCTTAAGGACGGAACCCGAGAGGCCTGGATCCCGTCACATGCCGACCCAACAGCTGCGTTGCTAAAAGCTACCCAGCCCCCCTTTTGCTCCGGATGGGATCCTCCACTCGAGACGCGTTTGGGAAACTGGGTTGTGGAGGGGGGGGGGGTCCCATTAAACCGAATGAGATGGTCCACGGGGAGCAGGTGGGTAAAGCCCCCCCCCCAAAGGAATCCAACACCCCATTACAGCACCCAGTTTTGACCCCCTATAAAGAGGAGGTTGAGGCTCTGGAAAGTGTGTCGAGGAGTGCAACTGAGGATGAGGAGGGGCCTGGAGGCTCAAACAGGCGGTGAACGGAATTGCAGGAACTGGGCCGGGCTGGTCCAAGGGGAGGCAGGGCTGCAATCGGTGGGGAGGAGGCCCCCGAGAGGAGCTTTCTGAGAGGAGGCTGGACAGCCACTCCCCTGGAATGGCAGAGGGTCTCCTGCTTGGGCAGGGGGCTGGACTAGAAGACCCCCAAGGTCCCCTCCAACTCTGTTTTCCTGCTGAGAGCTTCAAATTGGCGACCCCAGGTGGACTTGGTGGGCTCCTCTCTGGCGCACTGTGGCCAAACGCCTGGACCAGGCTCAAAAAGCCCCCAGCCTCTTGAGCAGCAGGAGAGCTCTGCAGCCCCCCCCCCCCCCCCCCCCCCCCAAAGAGAGATCCTGTGATCCAGGCCCAGGAACCACAATGCCGAGAAAGTCATTTATTCCAAGATGCCAAGGAAGCGATGGGCGCTCCATCCCCGGAGCCTCCCCCTCCTCCGCAGCCGCAGCCGCAGCCCTCCTCCTGCGCACCTCCTGCCAGGCTGCGTTGCCGGGACACCCTTTGGCACCCTTGGGGCCGAGCGCCCCTCCTCACGGCCTGCATGGCCTGGCCCAGCCCACCCGGCTGCCTTGCTCCGCCAGAGGCCCAAGGCCAGCAGAGACCCCAGCACCGCTAGGGCCCCGGGGGGTGGGCTCTCCACCCTGCCTGCCTGCCCTCCGTGTCCTGCGTCCTGCCCGCCCACACAGTGCGGGGGGAACCGGGCCCTGGGTGAGCCTCCTCCTCCTCCTCTCCCGGGGGTGGGGGGCTCTCTTCCCTGGGGAGGGGTGACTCAGTCCTCGAACCACTTGCTCCTCTTGAGCTGCCGGGCGGCCTTGCCAGCGCCCAGAATCCGCTGCTTGTACCGCTCCACCAGCTGCTCGAAGTGAACCTCCGCCCGGCCGTGTCCAGCCTGCTTCTTTGGGGGGCCCTGTGGACAAGGACGGGGGGTGGGCGTGTCAGGCTCAGAGGCCCTGGGGGGAGGGGGGCACAGAGGCAGGTGGGCTCTGCGTGGGAGGAGACCCCACCCACTCACCTGGGGGGCAGCTCCGGGCGCCTTCCGCTCTCTGGGCCCAGCCTTCTTCCTCCTCCTCCCCCGCTCGGGAGGGGCCCCCTGCGCTTTGCCCTTGTCACGATTCCTGCCGGGAGAGACCCCCCCCCCCCCCTCAGTCCAGGGAGCAGCCGCGGGGCGTTTTCTCCCACCCAGCTTGCAGAGGAGGACTTCCTCCGGCCATGCCAGGGACCCCGGAGCCCCCTCAGTGGCTGCCTTTACCTGATCTTGGGCCCCCGGTGGGAGGGGAGGGCCAGGACCCTCCGCCGCTTCGTGCCGTCCGGCAGCTCCACCGTCTCCTGCTCCTGCCGGGTCTGGAAGCCTGACCAGGAGGCGGCTCCTTCAGTGGCCTTGGGGCTTGGCCAGGGCCCAGGCCGCTTCCTTCTCTTCTGTCCACGGGGCTCTGGGGGAGCCTGAGGGCCGCTGGGACCCCCGGCCTTCCCTTGGGACCCCAGGGCCTTCTTCAAGCCCTTGGGGGGCTTCTGAGGGGCCCCTGGCTGGCCAGGGCCGGGCGATGGCGCCTGACTGGCTGGCCCGGCGGCTGCCTGCTTCTGCCTCAGCTTTTGCTGCACGAGGGAGAGAAAACGGGTCACCTGGGGCCTCCCTCCCCTCCCCCCTCCCCCTCCTGGCCAGTCTCCAGCTGGGGTGATGCAGCCGGAGCCCCTTGGTCGGGGGCTGCCCCCCATGGGCTCCTAGGGGCACTCCAGGGGCCAGGCCCCTGCCCGGGGGGATGATCTCAGGGGGCCCCTACCAGGCTGCGTTCCGCACGCTGCTCCTTCAGCCTCAGCTTCCGCCCGTCCTCCAGGGAGAACTCCACAATGGGCCGCTGGGGAGAGAAACAGCCCCGTCTTGGACAGCCCTCCAAGCGCCCTCCTGCCCACAGGGCGGCCCCCCCTCCCCTGCCCGGGTCCTTCCGCGGGTGGGCAGAAACTCCCCGGCCCAGTCACCTCTGCAGGTGGCCCAGCCCAAGCCTTGGGATGCCCAGGCGGGTGGGGGAGCCTCCGGGAGGGAGGGGCGGGGAGGAGACTCACCTTCTGGTCCCCAAAGAGCCGGGGGTTGTTGTTGACCTGGCGCAGGGCAAGCAGGGCGTGCTGGGGCTGCTGGAACTCCACGAAGGCGTAGCCCAGGGACTGGCCCCGCCCCTTCAGCTCCCGCATCACCCGGCACTGGGGGCGGGAGGAAGCGGCCAGTCACTCGCTGGGGG